ATGGGAGCCCTTTGATTGAACTTTGTATAGAAAGGGGTTTAGTTATAGGTAATACATATTTTAAGAAAAAGAGGATAAATAAGTATACACGATATGATGTAGGGCGAAATGACAGTAGTTTGTTGGATTATGTATTGGTAGATAAAAGACTGTTGAGTAGACTTCAGGATGTACATGTTTATAGAGGGGCCACAGATATATCAGATCACTTTCTAGTTGTAGCTACACTGAGAGTAAAAGGTAGATGGGATACAAGGAGAATAGAAGCATCAGGGAAGAGAGAGGTAAAGGTTTATAAACTAAAAGAGGAGGCAGTTAGGGTAAGATATAAACAGCTATTGGAGGATAGATGGGCTAATGAGAGCATAGGCAATGGGGTCGAAGAGGTATGGGGTAGGTTTAAAAAATGTAGTGTTAGAGTGTTCAGCAGAAGTTTGTGGTTACAGGAAAGTGGGTGCAGGAGGGAAGAGGAGCGATTGGTGGAATGATGATGTAAAGAGAGTAGTAAGGGAGAAAAAGTTAGCATATGAGAAATTTTTACAAAGTAGAAGTGATGCAAGGAGGGAAGAGTATATGGAGAAAAAGAGAGAAGTTAAGAGAGTGGTGAAGCAATGTAAAAAGAGAGCAAATGAGAGAGTGGGTGAGATGTTATCAACAAATTTTGTTGAAAATAAGAAAAAGTTTTGGAGTGAGATTAACAAGTTAAGAAAGCCTAGAGAACAAATGGATTTGTCAGTTAAAAATAGGAGAGGAGAGTTATTAAATGGAGAGTTAGAGGTATTGGGAAGATGGAAGGAATATTTTGAGGAATTGTTAAATGTTGATGAAGATAGGGAAGCTGTGATTTCGTGTATAGGGCAAGGAGGAATAACATCTTGTAGGAGTGAGGAAGAGTCAGTTGTGAGTGTGGGGGAAGTTCGTGAGGCAGTAGGTAAAATGAAAGGGGGTAAGGCAGCCGGGATTGATGGGATAAAGATAGAAATGTTAAAAGCAGGTGGGGATATAGTTTTGGAGTGGTTGGTGCAATTATTTAATAAATGTATGGAAGAGGGTAAGGTACCTAGGGATTGGCAGAGAGCATGCATAGTTCCTTTGTATAAAGGCAAAGGGGATAAAAGAGAGTGCAAAAATATAGGGGGATAAGTCTGTTGAGTGTACCTGGTAAAGTGTAGGGTAGAGTTATAATTGAAAGAATTAAGAGTAAGACGGAGAATAGGATAGCAGATGAACAAGGAGGCTTTAGGAAAGGTAGGGGGGTGGTGGACCAGTGTTTACAGTGAAACATATAAGTGAACAGTATTTAGATAAGGCTAAAGAGGTCTTTGTGGCATTTATGGATTTGGAAAAGGCGTATGACAGGGTGGATAGGGGGGCAATGTGGCAGATGTTGCAAGTGTATGGTGTAGGAGGTAGGTTACTGAAAGCAGTGAAGAGTTTTTACGAGGATAATGAGGCTCAAGTTAGAGTATGTAGGAAAGAGGGGAATTTTTTCCCAGTAAAAGTAGGCCTTAGACAAGGATGTGTGATGTCACCGTGGTTGTTTAATATATTTATAGATGGGGTTGTAAGAGAAGTAAATGCGAGGGTCTTGGCAAGAGGCGTGGAGTTAAAAGATAAAGAATCACACACAAAGTGGGAGTTGTCACAGCTGCTCTTTGCTGATGACACTGTGCTCTTGGGAGATTCTGAAGAGAAGTTGCAGAGATTGGTGGATGAATTTGGTAGGGTGTGCAAAAGAAGAAAATTAAAGGTGAATACAGGAAAGAGTAAGGTTATGAGGATAACAAAAAGATTAGGTGATGAAAGATTGAATATCAGATTGGAGGGAGAGAGTATGGAGGAGGTGAACGTATTCAGATATTTGGGAGTGGACGTGTCAGCGGATGGGTCTATGAAAGATGAGGTGAATCATAGAATTGATGAGGGAAAAAGAGTGAGTGGTGCACTTAGGAGTCTGTGGAGACAAAGAACTTTGTCCTTGGAGGCAAAGAGGGGAATGTATGAGAGTATAGTTTTTACCAACGCTCTTATATGGGTGTGAAGCGTGGGTGATGAATGTTGCAGCGAGGAGAAGGCTGGAGGCAGTGGAGATGTCATGTCTGAGGGCAATGTGTGGTGTGAATATAATGCAGAGAATTCGTAGTTTGGAAGTTAGGAGGAGGTGCGGGATTACCAAAACTGTTGTCCAGAGGGCTGAGGAAGGGTTGTTGAGGTGGTTCGGACATGTAGAGAGAATGGAGCGAAACAGAATGACTTCAAGAGTGTATCAGTCTGTAGTGGAAGGAAGGCGGGTAGGGGTCGGCCTAGGAAGGGTTGGAGGGAGGGGGTAAAGGAGGTTTTGTGTGCGAGGGGCTTGGACTTCCAGCAGGCATGCGTGAGCGTGTTTGATAGGAGTGAATGGAGACAAATGGTTTTTAATACTTGACGTGCTGTTGGAGTGTGAGCAAAGTAACATTTATGAAGGGATTCAGGGAAACCGGCAGGCCGGACTTGAGTCCTGGAGATGGGAAGTACAGTGCCTGCACTCTGAAGGAGGGGTGTTAATGTTGCAGTTTAAAAACTGTAGTGTAAAGCACCCTTCTGGCAAGACAGTGATGGAGTGAATGATGGTGAAAGTTTTTCTTTTTCGGGCCACCCTGCCTTGGTGGGAATCGGCCGGTGTGATAATAATAAAAAATAATAATATATATATATATTTATATATATATATATATATATATATATATATATATATATATATATATATATATATATATATATATATATATATAATATATATATATATGTCGTGCCGAATATGTAAAACTGGTCAGTTAGCAAGAACTCATTTAAAATTAAGTCATTTCTAAAATTTTCTCTTATACGTTTGAAGATATATTTTTTTCATTAATGTTAATGTAAAAATTTTTCATTTTGCACCACAAAAATCTTAAAAAACTTACCTAACCTTATTATAACAAGAACAATTTATTTTAGTCTAACCCAACTATATATATTTTAGATTTTTTACAATAATTTAATACTAAACAAACTCAGTGAAATATATTTTTTTTCGTTAGGTTCAGAATGATTTTGGCGAAATCATTGCATACACAAATTTTTGCTTGTCCTATATGGCAAGATGAACGTTGCTATTTAAGCCAAGATCGCAAGTTGTGCCTATTCGGCACGACATATATATATATATACATATATATATATATATACATATATATAATATATATATATATATATATATATATATATATATATATAATATATATATATATATATATATATATATATATATATATATATATATATATTTAAACTATTTTGGAAAATGCTTTGACGTATGAATTCAATTTCAGATTAAAGACTATGATACCGTGAATTTATATGAAAAGCTCAAGAAGTTAAAGTAGAAGTCAAATATCGTTTATAATGCATAGGTACAAACTAATAGAATTTTTTATAGCTAAGCCAGTAAATGTCGGTTTATGATATGTGTTAAAGCTGTTATGACTATGACTTATAAGAATGTTAAGAAAAGGCAATGTTCAGTTTGTCTCATCTACGGAGGAAGATTCAGTATTAGAGCCCTTTAAATGTTGATATTGCAAGAATAATCGTAACTGATCAATTGATTCCAGCATTAGAAAGATATCGTTAAACAACGTAGATATTACAATATTTTAATATAATCGCAAACAGGCGATTTCAGCGATGCACAACAAGTCACATGTGGGTGGGAATCTTTAGCTGACGACCTTTCGTACTCTTGCTTTGTCAGGAGCTATGCAATGTAGCATAGCCACCAACAGTTAGATTGAGGGTAAAAATTCCCTCAGAGGCAAGGTGGAAGCGCAAGAGAGCCACCTGCTAGTCGCCCACACCTCCCGTCCCCTCGCCCCCACATTTGGGGTAAGAGGAGGGGGAACCTCCAAGGTTTACAGAAAGCAAGTTACAGAATAATATACAAAAGTGATAGTCAGTCCAAAACTGCATCTAATCAATATCAACTTATCTAGTGACAGCATGAAATCATGTTACCTAAAAGGTTAACTTGAGTGTGTGGGAGTATTAATGACTTAGGTAACATTTCACAATGGTACTAGAATAGTTGATATTGAATAGATGCGGTTTTGGGCTGACTATCACTTTTCTAAATTATTCTGTAGATTGCTTTCTGTAAACCTCTCCTTAACCCAAATGGGGAAGTTTGAGGGAACAGCGAAAAGCCCTCTCACTCTACAGCAGTATGGGCCGATGCTCTGAGAGAATTTTCTCTCAGGCTATCTGCTGCTGGCCTTGCTACAGTGCATAGGTCCTGACTAGCAGTACAGTGACTGTCAGTGTTACCAGATGCTAGCAGAAAAGTAGGTTCACCTAGCAGTAAGTATGTATGTGGGTCTTAGTCGACTGATGTGGGTCGTATCCTGAGGGAAAGAAAGGGCCCCATTGGAAGTAAGTCGGAGAGTATTGGTGGCATGGCTTGAGCTCAAGATCTTTCGCACGAGTGCGAAAGATCTTGAGCTCAAGATTTCCATCACCACGTGATTGTTTTGTATAACATACATGTAGAAACGGACATTATTATTTTTATCATGGGGAAGCGCAAAAGCCGTAGGTTTATATAGCGCATGTCGGGGGCGGAGATGGAAGGTATTCAGGATAAATTCAGGGAACTGGAGCACAGATCCAATTCCCAAGATCAAGAGCCCCTCACCAGCGTTAAGGAACCTCCCTTGAGGGGGTAGAAAAGGACAAATTTACTCTAGGAGTGTGAAAGAAGAGAAAGGGTGAACAGCCTGAATAACTCAGTTTGGTTGGGATTTACAAATGGTAATAGAGTTTTTTATTAAAATAAATGCATGTATGAGTATAAACATTTGTATTAATGTATAAATACACTAATAAAAATGATTATATCCAATGTAATTTTTTCCCATTTACTGTTGTAATTTCAGAAAAATTATTTTACAATGCATGTTCACGTCTCAATTTTCTTTTTTTTCCAGACGATCCACCAAGACATCAGTGAGACAACACCTGAAGAAAGGGAAACAAACTATTAGTCATACAATCCACCTAGTTTGTTATCCACTCATACATTCATGAACCTCGCAAGTCAATTTGCCACCTGACCTATTAATTTAAGCGTTTTCGTGGGCGGTTAGAAAAACTGCCACCATGCCAGAAATCCCAGCTTACAACAAGCCAGTAAACTAAGCATTCGCCAGGTAAGTCAACAAGGCAGTTACCACTTTGTCCAGCACATACCAGACAAGCCATCCAAACATTCACCTGGGTTCGTCAAGGCAGTAAGAGTTAGTTAAACGTTCAGTCAATCAGTCAGCTCTCGGTACAAGCAGCAGCATCAAAATCTCTCATAGCTAAAGAAACCAGTCACATCATTTCGCTTTGTTATTGTCCCCGTCTCAGATTTCTGCATCATACATACACACACACACACACACACACACACACACACACACACACACACGCACACACACACACACACACACACACACACACACACACACACACACACCACACACACACACACACACACACACACACACACACTCACACCAACCCACAAAACCAGCAAACGCACAACACTGAAAACGCCCACAAATGCCTTTACCATTACTCTCCAGCCTCCCTAACCCTCAGGACGCTCACAACTACAAACAACTCTAACGTCCATAAAAGCCCCTAACGCCTACACCCACCTCAGCATCTATAACCCACCTACCCACACACGCCCACATTCGCTCACAGTAGCGTAATGCCAGCTTGTCCTAGCCCACTGCCCATCCGAACCCAACTAATTATTTAACTCCTGTAAAATTTTCATCGCTCACGCCCTCACGTCCCTGGCAGGATGTCCGGTCAATCAGGAACTTCACCCACGCCCCTACGCCCATGGCAGGACTCGCTGCGGTCAGCTGGACAAGCCCTCGAGTTTTTGCTGGCTAGTGGAATCAATTCTGACGTCACCCTAGTGGTCGGCCGCGAGGGTAAACAATTTAAGGTTAGTATGCAAAAATGTTTGAGTATATAGGATTTTGGTTCTGAGAAAAAAGCTCAATATATGCCGAAATATATGACTTCCTTTATTTACAAATAAGTCATATGAAGAAAATGATACATCAAAGTGCAATGAGCATTAGTCAGTGAAAGGAGACACAGACCCGAGTGATAGATTGTCTGAATATTCCGACATCCACCTAAAGATGACCTCAGGTTGGAGACCGAACATACAGCTAAACTTTCACTCTTTGTCTCAGTGTGAGTAATGGCCACTCACTGACACATATGTTAGGGCATTCTTGTTATATATGATTTGCATGTACCGATGTACTTGCGAATGTTTTTTTCATAAACGAAAGCGACTGTTTATCGGCACGAGGCATGTGTGAGCATGAAAACTTTCTGTGTGCATGTTCTTATTTCTAGCAAACACCTACCACACACACACCGGCTGTCTGCAGCAATGAGAGGTTACTTGTGCACATATAACCATCAAGCACCTGTCGTCTGAGGCAATGAGAGGTTTCTTGTACTCGTGTAACCATGAGACACCTGTCTTCTGAGACAGTGAATGCTTTGTGCACGTATAACCATCACATACAAGTCTCGTGAGACATTCAGTGGTCTTCCACCACAGAGTAACTAACTCAGGAAGCTCATGCATGTAAGATCCCATCATCCTCAGGGCACACGCGGTCTATATTGTAATGCTGGATAATGAAGGACGTTTTATTCTTCGCCAAGACAACAATTTACATGATGAACAGGAGTGATTCCTGCTTTCCAGTGCAGAGAAGGATGGAAATATAAAGTCAGCGACACAGTACAAAGAGGGAAGGAGAGACAGAGATTCACAGTAAAGAGAAAGTAAAAGCGCGGGCAAAACACACAAAAAGATAAATAAAACTGAGATAAAAGGATGTATAAAGTATTCTAAATCATCAAACATATCAACTTAAAAATACAAAGTAATAACTTCTAAAAGTATGCAAGAACTGTTAAAACAATGATGAAATGCTCCGATTTAACTTCTTGGAATCATTTACATTTTTAACATTATTTGATATTCAAATCCAATGCCTTTTTTTACACTATTTACAGTTTTAAATATATTCTCACCGCTTGTTTTTTTTCTTCTCTTTACATTTTACAAAATACCTAAAATGAAACCACAGTTGTATTTTCCTGAACCGAAATATTATATTATGACTTTAATATCTTTATTCAATGTGTAGCTATGATTAGTAAAAATATAGTCCTATTGTTTAACATATTTCTTTGGGAAAAAGAGAGAGAGAGAGAGAGAGAGAGAGAGAGAGAGAGAGAGAGAGAGAGAATGCTGAAATGAAGATTACCTTGGAAATTAAACATATACAAAAATTGTAACGGTATTGGCGTGTGGGATGGAGAGCAAAAAAGACAGCAAAAGGATGACAGATGAGAGATTTGGGTGAAGGCTGTTGAAAAAGAAATTAATGAGAATTTTGCACTAAAGATAAGTGGAAACGGGGAAAGCGAAAGGGGAGAAAAGCGAAAATGGGATTATAGAGGAAGGGAGAGGGTAAAGGGGAGAACGAAGACGAGAGACGAAAGAGACGAGAGAGACTAGAGAGAGAAGAGAGACGAGAAAGAGACGGGGAGAGAGAGAGAGAGAGAGAGAGAGAGAGAGAGAGAGAGAGAGAGAGAGAGAGAGAGAGAGAGAGAGAGAGAGAGAGAGAGAGAGAGAGAGAAGAAGAGAGAAGAGACAGACAGACAGACAGAGAGACAGAGACAGACAGACAGACAGACAGACAGAGAGAGAGGGGAGAGAGAGAGAGAAGAGTAAAGGAGAGAGAGGATGAGACGAGGAGAGAGAGAGAGAGAAGAGAGAGAGAGAGCGAAAGATGAGAGGTAGAGAGAAGAGAGAGAGAGAGAGAGAGAGAGAGAGATGCTTTCCTGAGCTCTCATTCTTAATCCTACAAATCTGCTTTACCATAGCGTGAAGAGATGAACCTGTGTTGGTCCAGTCAGCGAAAGGAATAATGAACGACACTCAGGCCGCCAATAACTGCCCAAGCTTGCTTAATCATGCAAACCGCTTGTGTTCAAAATATGATTCTCATACCTACACAGCTGCCTTTACTCTAGACTTCACGGTTCATTTGGTTTCCACTCCAGCCACATAGTTCAACTAGCCAGAAATCTCCCGGTACAACTATTTTTGCCTGTCATGGGAAATTTCTGGTAGTGCTCTGTGGTATGTCAAGTATTGTTATTGCTTTCACTGGGGACCGCTAAATCCGTAGAGGTCACACAGCGCAACTGGAGGCACGGGTTCAGTTCCTAAGATCAAGAGCCCCTCGCCAGCATCAAAGAACCTTCCTTAACCTTAACACATTCTTTGCCTTTCTCCAGGGTGACGTTAATGCTCGGTTATATGCACTTGAGACCTCTCAAATTTTTTCATCTTTTTTTTCGATTTGTATGACTAAGATTGATTTCGTATGTAATTTGGATTTTAATTTCTGTTATTTGGTATCGTTATTCCCTCTCCATATTGACTAGAGACTCAAACACTATCTCATTTGGATAAAAATTCGTTCTGCCGACAGTAACGAAAAAAAAAAAATATACAGAGCAAGTTTTAGTTATTCCCTTCGCTTTATGCAGATTAACTCTAAAAGCTCCACATAGAGTGAAAAGTTTTCACAATGAAAACCTGAGAGAGTTTCGACTTATATATCCAGAGATATTGACAACTTGCTTTATGGGTAGGCGTCTGAAACTTTGTTTTATTTCAAGTTTCACATTTTAAGATGATGAAGAAAATGACAATGATAATTATATTAATAATAGTACTACTACTACTGCTATTAATAATAATAATAATAATAATAATAATAATAATAATAATAATAATAATAATAATAATAATAATAATAATAATAATAATAATAATAATAATAATTCCAGTATTAATATAGTTCAGTAAACATTTATTATATGAATTTAGTTATATCGTCGCTAGCGACAATGTAACAGGAGTGTAATTACTCATCGTTCTACTACTACTGCTACCATTCCTGCTACTACTGCTACTACTTCTGCTGCTGCTGCTGCTACTACTACTACTGCTACTACTACTGCTGCTGCTGCTACTACTACTGCTGCTGCTGCTACTACTACTGTTGTTGCTGCTAATACTACTGAAGCTCCTGCTGCTCCTGCGACTACTACTCCTTCTGCTACGACAACTTCTGCTGCTGATGCTACTACTACTGCTGCATGAGTGTCTTATTCTTCAACTAGTTGGCATTGTTTTAATAACAAGATAACGAGTACATGTACTGCTACTAATGCCAATATTGCTACTTTTATTATAGACTTTGAAAAGGCATTAGATGACATGCCCCTTCACCCTGCCCCAGGCTCAGACTCATGGAACTCCGTGTTCACCAAGAACTGCAAGAAGCCCCTGTCACATGCCTTCAGCATTCTATGGAGAGGGAGCATGGACACAAAGGTTGTCCCACACACACTAAAAACAACAGACATAGTCCACTCTACAAAGGTGGCAGTAACTACAGAACTACAGACAGATAGCACTAACATCCCATATCATGAAAATCTTTGAAAGGGTTCTAAGAAACAAGATCGCTAACCACCTAGATACCTATCAATTACACAACCCAGGGCAACACGGGTTTAAAGCAGGTCGCTCCTGCCTGTCCCAGCTACTGGACTACTATGACAAGGTCCTGGATGCTATAGAGGATAATCAAAATCCAGATGTAGTACACACTAATTTTGCAAAAACCATCGACAAGTGTGACCACGGTGTAATAGCGCACAAAATGCGTGATAAAGGAATGACAGGAGAAGTTGGTAGATGGATCTATAACTTCATAACAAATAGAACGCAAAGACTAATAGTAAACAGAGTAAAGTCTGAGGCAGCTACGGTGAAAAGCTGTTTCACAAGGCACAGTACTCGCTCCCATCCTATTCCTCATCCTCATATCTGATATAGACAGATGTAAGCCATAGCTCTGTGTCTTCCTTTGCGGATGACAACCGAACTGCCATTACAGTGACCTCCATCTAAGACACAGCAAGACTCCAAGCGGACATCAACTAAATCTTCAAATGGGCCACTCAAAACAATCTGTAGTTCAATGAAGAAAATTTTCAACTACTCAGATATGAAAAACTTGAGAAAAGTAAAACTGTATCAGGGTGTACGACAATTTCTGACTATACAAAAGAGCGAAAAAGTAATGCGAAGGACCTGGGTGTGATAATGTCAAAGGAGTTCACCTGCAAAGATCACAACTATCTATCAACCGCATCTGCTAGAAAAATAATAGGATGGATAATGAGAACCTTCAAAAATAGGACGCCAAACCCACGATTCTCTTCAAATCGCTTGTTCTCTCTAGGCTGGAATACTGCTGTACACTAACTGCCCCCTTCAAGGCAGGCGAAACTGCTGACCTGAAAAGTGTACAAAAAACTTTCACGGCACACATAAGTACGATAAAGCACTTAAATTACTGAAAGCGGTTGAAGTCCCTTGATTGTATTCCCTGGAACGCAGGCGAGATACATGATAATATACATTAGGAAAATCCTAGAGGGATTAATACAAAACTTGCACACGAAAATCAGTCCCTATGAAAGCAAAAGACTCGGTAGGAGATCAAACATTTCCCCAATGAAAAGCAGGTGCGCCACGAGTACAATGAGAGACAACTCAGTAAGTGTCAGGGGCCCAAAATTGTTCAACTGCCTGCCAGCATACATAAGAGGGATTACCAATAGACCCCTGGCTGTCTTCAAGAATGCACTTGAGAGGCACCTAAAGTCAGTACCTGACCAACCGGGCTGTGGTTTGTACATCAGTTTGCGTGCGACCAGCAGTAACAGTCTGGTTGATCAGACCCTGATCCACCACGAGGCCTGGTCTCAGATCGGGCCGCGGGGGCGCTGACCCCCGAAACTCTCTCCAGGTGTACTCCAGAT